CGAGTCAGTCAGTCGAGTCAGAGGCAGTCTGAAACAGAGTCGCGTTCAGACAATTACTACTAAACCTGATTGTTCGTAATAACACTTTCTACCTCTCTCTATATATTCCTGTTTGTAATATATCTGTGTTATTCCATATCCGTATTCGAGTTCTTTCTTTATTGGCTCTACCTTGGACTATCACCGTGATACAAGGAACCGGACCATAACAGAATGTATAGAACTTAAGTTTTCCCGTCACTGACAATATTTTGATTTCTATTGTTCAAAAGGGAAATATCGACATTGTTGATACTGTTCCACCATCTACTTACTTCAATTGTATCGCTGTCATACTTAATTCGGTATCGTTATAGGATACGATAATACATGACAAACTTATATTTCACATTGGTACGAAGATTTGAAAGGCGGGAGATGAACGCATCGTGCACGATTGGTTACCAGAATTTGATGCTGTCAATTTTTATTTTTATTTTTACAGATCAGAAGGTGTGCTGAATATGACGAGGTCACTGACAACAAGATGGTGTCTGAAAGTTTACAAACTGCACGTACCGTTATTGTACTGTTCAATCGAAATGCTTGCGTAGTTAAAAGCTCATTGGTACCCAGCCTACTGCGTCAGTCTTCAAATAGACTTCGGGCTATCTAATAGTCTTCAATTATTATACGAAGTCCTTGTAAACTTCTGCTGAAACGGCTCTGCGATCTTTACCGTAGGTAACAAATTAAAGCAACGTGTCTACATGCTTTTTTTTTTGAAGCTCCGGAAATTGTTACTGAGAACCTCGGGATGATTCGTCAGGCTTTTGGTATATATTCTTTAGGTCGAACGAACGTTTGAGAATGAAGTACGTTTCAAGGCCGGCCGAGTGTCGGTTCAAGATGATGAGCGTTCAGTGTAGCCAATCATCAACAAAACAACAGGAATATGAAAAAAATCGTAATCTCATCAATGAAGTCCAGTGATTTCATATTATTAGAATCAGTGATGGTAGTGAATGCAGAATATTCTTCTCACAGATGAAGAATGGACTTGAAGCAACAGAAATGACGTTCTACAGAAGGATGCTGAGAATACCACGGATCGAACAATTGAGAACAACGAAGTTCTAGGATCAAAAAGGACATTTATAGTTAACATCGGAAAGATACAGTTGAAATTTCTAGAGCACGTAATGAGGAAAGAGGGATTGGAAAATTTGATCCTCACAGGACATTTTGAAAGCAGAGGACAACAATGTATGAGCTACATATCAAGCTTAAGTAAAATAGATGGCGGAGTAAGACTTAGGAGAGATAACAAAAAATACATTTTATTAAGAGCTACAAAGGACATGAAGTTGTGGAGAGTCGTGATCGCCTACGCCCTGAAGGGACACAGCACAAAGAAGTAGGACCTACTAGATCATGGTCGCCGGTAGATTATTATTTTTTTATCATCTAGGTATTGCCATGCCTGCTTGTGGATAAATTCCATTGTCTTCTCTACGGTTATGCCACCTCTTCCCTGCTATTTAACCCATAACTAGAGGGGAGAAAAGATAAATTTATGACTTTCCCAAAATTATCTGTGTGAAAGTGAACGCAACAGCCAGTCCTGGAATTTATAACCAATCCCACTTTCTGCGTCGATAACCGCTATGCTACACGTACATCCTTGAGCGACGTTTCAATACAACTGACCTGTTGTCCTTCTTCATAATTTTCAGTTACAACTATTTATTTGGACCTTTATATCTGTTTTCTTTACCTTTCCAACCATATATAGAATAAAAGTCTGTATTTGAGCTAATGTGATATGTTGTTATTCCTTGCCTTTTGCATCTGGTGTTCTCCTAGTGTCGAATAAAATCATTTATTTGAGACATGGTGCTTTCTGTCAGGGTTATTGTCCTTCTTAAGAAACGTCGAATATAAACTTCTGTTTGAGCCACGGAGAAACGTTTTAATTAATTACCTTTCATATTAAGGGAACCTTTGTTTATATCACGGTGATGCGTTGTTAGTTACCTGTCATGTTCGGGTGTTCTTTTCAGAGAAAATCGAATTGGTCTGTTTATTTGAACCACGAAAATGTTTTTCTTTCTTTTCTGATGTCCTTAAGAAACCTCCTATACATCTCGTATAAATCTCGTATAAATCTCGTAAAAGCCTCTGTACCATGCTGATCAGTTCGCATTAATTTCCCGACAGGGAATGCCGAATAAAACCATTTTATCATCTGTCTATATTTCTGAGATGAGCTATTGCAACTATTTACATTGTTCGGACTGTTGTCCTCGTCTTTTTTCTTATATTCACGACGTTTCGGTCGTTGAATTTTTCGGACTTATAAACCTAATGTCATAGTAGCCTTTTTTTTTCTTTTTTTTGGTTACCGGGACATTAGGTTTATAAGTCCCCCAAATTAATTTCCAGCGTTGATTGAAGTAATCCAGGGACTTAACCCAAAGCGTTGTGAGTTCAATACCTGGCCACAGCAGAGGTGAACAAAAACTTGGAGACAATTAACTGAAACTGAGATATCCAGAAAATGAATGACACAATTTACCCTAGTGGATTAAATAAATGGTCCGGTTCGAAATTCCAACGTATATCACCTGAAGAAGGACCGGTCGAAACGTCGTAAATATGATAATAATGATGAAGACAACAGTTCGAACAATGTAAATAGAGCCGTTTCATGCCTATTCTCCTTTATAGGGTATATCGAACAGATGCTTTTATTTGAGTCACGGAGATATATTTTCATTTCTTACCTGTCACGTTTGGTGTTGTTCTTCTCTTCTAACAGAACTATTTGAGTAACAGGAATGTATTGTCATTCCTTATCTCTCGTGAACAAGATATGTGGATAAGATAAGGGTTAGACCTAGACATGAACAGTTTAACATTGTAGCGATCGAAGAAGCATTCTCATGGGTGTCAGTTCCACAGAGCAGCGGATTTGTGGGAAGAAGCTGCTTGAGTAGAACTTCCATCTCACCAATGGAAGGGAATGGCTCGCTACAATGAGCCTGGGATGGCGGGTCTTAGTCGTGAAGGTTAGAAATGGTGGAATTAAGGAATGTAATCTGAACACCTTCCACGGAAATAACGATAGATAGATAAGTAATAAGAATATATGTTCTGTCTCAAACAAAGATTCTCTGCAACATAACATAAGAGGAACACCGGATTTGATGTGTAATGAATGAGAATTGAGATACTCCCACCTACAACCTCGTTCTAATAGATTTCCCTAGAAGGGACATCAACAATTCAAAAATGAGTCAAGAAATGTTTTCTAGTTATAATTCCCAAGGAAGGACATCATAATTCACAATAAGAAATGAGAATATATAGCTATGGTACAAATAAAATCTTCCATTCGACATTCTCTAGAAAGGACACCAGAAGAATTTATAATGTAGCCCCTTTTGCAAATAATGCGCTCCAGTAGAAGTTACCCGGGAAGATGTATTGACCCACTTTCTACGGTTTATCAACCCTATGCAGGTTATTTAAAGCCAGAAAATATTTTTAGATTTTGAGATAATAACGGTTTAGGGATACAAGTCTTACTAATTCATCCATAGTTCGGTGGAGACGAAGGATATTTGCACCAGATATGACAGGTAAGGAATATGATATATATTCCATCGCCCTTTCTATTTGACATTCCAGAAGAATAGCACACTATATGACATATAAGGGATTAGAATTTTACCCATGCAGTGTTTTATTCGATATTACATGAAACCTGAGAGCTATGAAAAGAGAAAATGTCACTGTGGCTCAAATAAAGTGTAATAGTAAACATTGACAGGTTCCAGTTACGGCAGTTCAAGAATGAGAATATATTCTTTATTTGTCATATCAATATTTCTGTTAGTTATTACCCTGGAAGGACATTTAACATATCGGGTAATGAATATGAAGATATCCCGGTAGGTCAAATAAATAATTCTATTCGACATTCTGCCGGAAGTGCACCTGGATTGTCAAGTGAGGAATGTGAATATATCTCCATCATGTTATAATTCTGATTCTTTCTCCGATAGAAGTTTAGCAGGGGAATTAACGTTACGTCCCAGATAAATGATGAACCATTCTGTTTCGAATGTGAGGAAAGACGGTAGAAAAAGACATATCAGACAGACTGCCTTTAGTTCGAAAAAGAAAGCATACATACATACATACTACTATTACTATTATTAATAATAATAATAATAATAGTAATAATAATAATGATAAGAAGAAGAAGAAGAAGAAAAACGAAAGAAACTTTATTCTAATAGCTGTTAGAGGTTTATTTTTAAACAAAAGATCATGCAATATTTCAATAATAAAATAATAAAATAAAATATTTATTAAATTAAATTTAAAAATTTACATTTTACACCCTACCATCATCTTATAAAATAATTAACACTATTAATAAATAATGAATCATTCCGTTTTGATTGTCAGGAATGGCAGAAAAAAAAAGATGTAGAAACGCAGGTGTGTTTCAGCGAGAAAAAGAAAGCGTAATAATAAGAAAGAAAGAAAGAAAGAAAGAAAAAAAGAAAGAAAGAAAGAAAGAAAGAAAGAAAGAAAGGAGGAAAATGAAGATAGAAGTCGTCAAAGTTTAACGTCTGCTTCAGTGAAATGGAAATCCGTATCAATTCTGAGTACCTTTTTTTCATTTGTACCTTCTTAAATAATGACCTACATTTCTACGTATGATTGCTGTTCGAATATTTTGTTAATGTTGTTCAAATATTTCGCATTTCAATAAAGTAATTTTTACTGGTATTTTATCGTCATGGAACTCACCATGAGCTAATTCAATCATTAACTTAAGATATTAAGATACATTAGTTAATTCAAATAGGAAAACCGTAAAATTTCCACGCAAACTGTTTGCAAATCAATAAACGTTCTAGTTGACATTCCTGAAACTTTAGCAAATAGGACCAACACCAGAAAGTACAATGTGGAAATTTTTTTTATGAAAACAGGAAAAATTATCAGAATGAATGGATAAACGAGTGAAAGAATACATGAACAAACGAATGAATGAATGAAGGAATGAATGAATAAATGAACAAACGAATGAATGAATGAAGGAATGAATGAATAAATGAACAAACGAATGAACAAACGAATGAATGAATGAAGGAATGAATGAATAAATGAACAAACGAATGAACAAACGAATGAATGAATGAAGGAATGAATGAATAAATGAACAAACGAATGAATGAATGAAGGAATGAATGAATAAATGAACAAACGAATGAATGAATGAAGGAATGAATGAATAAATGAACAAACGAATGAATGAATGAAGGAATGAATGAATAAATGAACAAACGAATGAACAAACGAATGAATGAATGAAGGAATGAATGAATAAATGAACAAACGAATGAACAAACGAATGAATGAATGAAGGAATGAATGAATAAATGAACAAACGAATGAATGAATGAAGGAATGAATGAATAAATGAACAAACGAATGAATGAATGAAGGAATGAATGAATAAATGAACAAACGAATGAATGAATGAAGGAATGAATGAATAAATGAACAAACGAATGAATGAATGAATGAATGAATGAATAAATGAACAAACGAATGAAAGAATGAAGGAATGAATGAATAAATGAACAAACGAATGAATGAATGAAGGAATGAATGAATAAATGAACAAACGAATGAATGAATGAAGTAATGAATGAATAAATGAACAAACGAATGAATGAATGAAGGAATGAATGAATAAATGAACAAACGAATGAATGAATGAATGAAGGAATGAATGAATAAATGAACAAACGAATGAATGAATGAAGGAATGAATGAATAAATGAACAAACGAATGAACAAACGAATGAATGAATGAAGGAATGAATGAATAAATGAACAAACGAATGAATGAATGAAGGAATGAATGAATAAATGAACAAACGAATGAATGAATGAATGAAGGAATGAATGAATAAATGAACTAACGAATGAATGAATGAAGGAATGAATGAATAAATGAACAAACGAATGAATGAATGAAGGAATGAATGAATAAATGAACTAACGAATGAATGAATGAAGGAATGAATGAATAAATGAACAAACGAATGAATGAATGAAGGAATGAATGAATAAATGAACAAACGAATGAATGAATGAAGGAATGAATGAATAAATGAACAAACGAATGAATGAATGAAGGAATGAATGAATAAATGAACAAACGAATGAATGAATGAAGGAATGAATGAATAAATGAACAAACGAATGAATGAATGAAGGAATGAATGAATAAATGAACAAACGAATGAATGAATGAAGGAATGAATGAATAAATGAACAAACGAATGAACAAACGAATGAATGAATGAAGGAATGAATGAATAAATGAACAAACGAATGAATGAATGAAGGAATGAATGAATAAATGAACAAACGAATGAACAAACGAATGAATGAATGAAGGAATGAATGAATAAATGAACAAACGAATGAATGAATGAAGGAATGAATGAATAAATGAACAAACGAATGAACAAACGAATGAATGAATGAAGGAATGAATGAATAAATGAACAAACGAATGAATGAATGAAGGAAGGAATGAATAAATGAACAAACGAATGAATGAATGAAGGAATGAATGAATAAATGAACAAACGAATGAATGAATGAAGGAATGAATGAATAAATGAACAAACGAATGAACAAACGAATGAATGAATGAAGGAATGAATGAATAAATGAACAAACGAATGAATGAATGAATGAAGGAATGAATGAATAAATGAACAAACGAATGAATGAATGAAGGAATGAATGAATAAATGAACAAACGAATGAATGAATGAATGAAGGAATGAATGAATAAATGAACAAACGAATGAATGAATGAAGGAATGAATGAATAAATGAACAAACGAATGAATGAATGAAGGAATGAATGAATAAATGAACAAACGAATGAATGAATGAAGGAATGAATGAATAAATGAACAAACGAATGAATGAATGAAGGAATGAATGAATAAATGAACAAACGAATGAATGAATGAAGGAATGAATGAATAAATGAACAAACGAATAAATGAATGAAGGAATGAATGAATAAATGAACAAACGAATGAACAAACGAATGAATGAATGAAGGAATGAATGAATAAATGAACAAACGAATGAATGAATGAAGGAATGAATGAATAAATGAACAAACGAATGAACAAACGAATGAATGAATGAAGGAATGAATGAATAAATGAACAAACGAATGAATGAATGAAGGAATGAATGAATAAATGAACAAACGAATGAACAAACGAATGAATGAATGAAGGAATGAATGAATAAATGAACAAACGAATGAATGAATGAAGGAAGGAATGAATAAATGAACAAACGAATGAATGAATGAAGGAATGAATGAATAAATGAACAAACGAATGAATGAATGAAGGAATGAATGAATAAATGAACAAACGAATGAACAAACGAATG